TTGGGAGGTGAATATTTTAATCTAAGTGTAAAGGTTTTTATTAATCCTTGTCTGTCAAACAAAGGAAAGAGGAAATTCAAGAGCAATACAGGTAAAATTTCTAAAATGTGTCCTGAAATATTCTTCTATGCACTAGGCTCCTCTGTGATTAAAGCTGTATATCTGAGCACTCTCCAGTTCTCTAAACCAGTGGATATACAAGCTGGGAGACTCCAAAGCTCTTTGTTCATTAGCATTTTAGCTCTGAATTGCATTGCATTAATAAATACTTGTCCAATACAGAATATTGAATGCCGGGAGATGGTATTATGGAGAAACTTATATTTCCCACAGGGCAGATGGATATGAAGGGAGAGGGTAGGAATTAATGACAGGCTAAAATCTGAAACATTTTTGTAATGGCCACCATTTGGATTAGACAGAGGATTGTCATTTCAAATGGGCTTCCAGCAGAGTGAGATGGTAAAGTTTGGTGGGGTTTAGAKCACTAATTTATCATATAGCTGTACTTGTGAGTAATGTATAACTATTTCCTTAATACATATGTAAGAGAATGAAAAGGGTATGTTACCAGCATAATAACCAAGCATCCATATTTTACCRTCCCAGCTGGGACTGAATGAATATTTTATGAAGTAGAAAGGTAGTTTGGGTTCACTTGGCACAATTCACATGGCAGATGATTGGGAGCTGGCCTCAATTTGAGCTGTAAGGTTTGCAGTGAGTGACAAAGGAATTGAAGGTAGTAGATGTGTGTGCTTCCATGTACCCTGCTGCAGAATTTGGCCTTGAAAATCCTCACTRAGGTTGCCAATTTTATACAAAACACTTAAAAAAATAATTGGCATAATGACTCAGACTTCTGGCTTTTGTCACCAGCTCAGTGCTGCAACCATTATATAGGTGTGTTTAAACCTTGAGAATAGGTTTACTTGACCAGGAACAAGCAGCAGTGGTGATTTTGCCCTTGCTTCATAACTTGTACAGGGGTGGGGAGTAAACAGCTTTTTGAGAGAGAGCAGCCACTGACCCAAGTCTGAATCAGCTCTATTACTCAAGTAATGAAAAATGCCTGAAAGCAAATAGCATTTCAATTTTTCAGTGGTCTAAAATACAGGGAGGTCAGGTTGATTGCAATATTTCCATTTCATTCTTCAGTGAGAAATCAATCATTTGAAAAAACATGAGTGATTAGAAACTCTCAGCTAGCTTTCAATTAACAGCAATAGGAATATAGCAAAAGTGTTCTTTTACATTTTTTCAGGTGAGTTATGTTATATATTTTATACTGCTGTTCAATTTGATCATTCTGCCAACTTTTCTCCAGATGATGCACAACTCTTCACATAGAAGGAATATAATTCAGCTCCCTTATACAAAATCAAAAGAACAGCGATGATTGAATTTATGCCTATGAGCTGAAAAAATGTGCTGTGCTCTCAGAGGATGTGAAGAGAATAATGTCTAAAGGAATTATTCTGGAATATTCTGGAATTGATTAATAATTTAAATATAAGTGATATATAATATAAAATTAATATAAACATATATATAAAATTAATATAAATAATTTAAAAATAAGTGAAAATTATTATCCTATCTTGGTTCTTATGTTTACCTTTGTCTGGTTTTCCAAACTGGTTGCTGCTCATATTTATTCAGTATACCAGAAATTTTTAAAGCCAGTGTGCATATGGGGATATGTGTTTGATAAACTTTATAAATAAAATTTTATTAATAGCTCTAACTCTCAAACTTTGCATTCCTTGCAATAAATGCATAAAAGATGAGTGTGACATATTATTCTTTGGTTGCTGAAGCCATACTCAATGATTTAAAAATGTTAAATATTCAACTGAAAGTGGTAGATTTATATCTTATTTGAAAGAGCTCAATACCAAGTCAAAGGCATTCAAATAAGCCCTAGTCTGACTTGCAAAAAATAAAATGTCACTTTTGTACATCTCAAAAATATTTCACTYTTAATTTAGAGATATTATTCCTCTTTATCATGGGAAATTAAAATATAATAAAATCACAGCAAGATTTCAGAATATTTTTCACCTAAGCAGCTGTCAGGTCCTGTGAGGGAGGTCCTGGGGCTTCCTGCTCTGGGATAGCAAAATRTTGGATGTGGAGAGAGCAGGCCTGGACTGCTTCCCCTTGGACAGCAGGATACCCTTGGACAAACTTAAGGCAAAACAATGCCAAACGACCAATTMGAAWGTTTTAGCTATGRAAGCAACAATTTAAACTWTTAAACCTTAYGATAGGTTGAACAKTCCACACCAGCAACAACTTAAAATTTCTGAACAGCCCGTGGCAGCATYGAATTAAACTCTTCTAAACAGCCCATAGGAGCAGCACATTGAACTTATAAGGAGAGGAAGAAATGAATAAAGAAAGGTAGGAAAACTAGAGGTAAAGGATCCCATGTGAATGTACCTCCACCCACACAGCCTCTCAGTTGTTCTATTTACAGAACAGTCCTCTTGCAGGTGCATTTTGTTATTCTCAGACTTTTCAGAAGGGTGCTGGATGGTCTCATGGTTTCAATTCCCCTCCCCTGTCAGAGACAGAAGTGCAGTGCTGTCTCAAATTTGGTTTGAGAGACAGTTACCCAAAATAAGAAGGGTAGTCCCCAAAWAAACTCTATCCTACCTCCAAGGGCCTTTTTCCTATCACTTTATCTCATTGGCATGGTAACGTTCCTTTTCTCCTCTGCCCAGTGTTKGAGACATTAACTCTTTCAGGTTTACATTAACTCCATCAGGTTTTCAGCATCTCACAGCAGCTCTCCTCTTCTGGATGAAAACCATATCCTACTCTCCCTACCTTGTAACAGAAATTGCCACAGACACTGAAGGCACACAGCAGACCATTAGCTAAGGCAAGAATTGAAATGAGTTTCTCCCATTTGTGAATCTGCATCTGAGCCACCTGATCAGGTAACTTTYTTCCCAGGTGCAAATATTCAATCTTTATCATGTGCACTGCAGCACAGTCTAGGAAGCTACAAACAGAGGGCTGAAACCTCTTGTTTTAGGCACTCTGACAACACAAGCCAAAAATACAGTATAGCAGAGGGAAATGAAAGGTGGAAGAACAGTGCACAGCAGCATATTTGTTTCTGAAGGCATTTTTCCTTGGTTTGCTCCATACCCTGACAATACTACAACCTTAAGATGAATATAACAGACTTAAAGTTTTTTTGGACAAACTTTGGTTGTTGAAATAACAAATTTGAAAATAATCAGCAGCCTCACAGAAAGCACCCAGTGGTTTGGGATTTTTTTTTACTTAGATATATACATAGAAAGAACAAGGAAAATGACTGGAGTTGTCAAATGAAAATCAGGTAAGRATTTGCATTGAGGCTAGTTATTAAATTTGACTGCTACCACAGAATCACAGACTCAGAGAATTGTTTTGGTTGAAAAGACCCCTAAGGTCCAACCAATAACCCAGCACTGCAAAGTCCAGCATTAAACCATGTCTCTAAGTAAAATATCTACATGTATTTTAAATACCTTCAGGGATGGAGACCCAGCCTCCTCCCTGGGCATCATGTTATGATGCTTGACAACACCGTTGGTGAAGAAATTTTCCTGAAATCCAGTCTAAACCTCCCCTAGAACTACTTGAGGCCATTTCATTTTGTCCTGTTGCCTTTTACTTTGGAGAAGATACCACATCCCGCCTGCCTAAAACCTCTTTTCAGATAACTACAGAGAGTGAAAAGTTCTCTCTTGTAGACAGTGGGTCATCTTGTCCTGGGAGGAGATAAGGCCTTACATTGAGTACTTCAGATCCTCCTCCTCCTCCTTTGTCGTGTTTCTCTCCATCCAGTAAAGGCTGGAGATTCTGCCTAGCCCCCTTTTGTTGTTAATGTACTTATGGAAAGAGTTTTCATCGTCTTTTGGGGCAATTTTAGAGGCAAATTTACTTCCAGTCAGGCTTTGGCGCTTCTGATTTTCTCCCCGCACAATCCCATGAAGGCTGTGCTCCCCTCCCGCCTGGCTGCCCCTTCTCCCAAAGGTCCTAAACGCTCTGGTTCCATCAGAGTTCCACGTAAGGGTGTGGCCATGGAACCCTGGTGTCTGTGACATCGGAGGGGACGGTCCCCAGGCACCGCAAGCTGCAGTGTCACC